ACCGGCCCGGGCGGCATCATGGCTCACCTGCGATGATGATCCGCCTTACAGTTCCAGGCTGCGCCCGCACGTCAGCATTTGACCTCGTCTATTAATACTCGCTACGGGTTACAGTGTTCAAGTTACCCTGGCGACTGTGCAGACCGTTCTCTACGGCGGTGTCACGATCAGGTGATCGGACCAGGTAGTCCGTCCTGCGGCATCCGGTAGCCGCCGGCTGAGCCCAGCGCCCTCCTAGTATTCTCGCGGCGCGGCGGCCGATTTTTAACTTCCTAAGTGTAATTTTGCCAGGCCCGGAGTGAAGCCTGATCAATTCCGGTCGGACTACCAGCCCGCTGTGCTGGTGGTGGAGGAGGAGGAGGAACCTTGCTCTCTTTTGCAGCATCCGCGAAGGAAGCAGCAGGGTTGAGGCTGATGTATTAAGGCGATGAGAAAGCAATCGGTCAGAGCGAGGGAATCGGAGGGGCGAGGGCGAGGGCGAGGGCGAGGGCGAGGGCGAGGGCGAGGGCGAGGGCGAGGGCGAGGGCGAGGGCGAGGGCGAGGGCGAGGAAGGACTGACGAGTATGAAAGCAAGAGACTAGAAGAGATGAGAGAGATGCAGAGGAGGAGCAGGGGAGGAGCAGACGGACATGAGCCCCAACGATGGGAGGAGGAGAGGCGTCAAGCTCGTCAACATCTGCATCAAGACTCTCAGCCAACGTGTCGAGGATAACAAGTCGAGACCTGTCTGCGAGGAAGTGCAGGAGATCGGAGCTGCTTGCTAGTGCCCTCCGCTGCTCAGTTCACCATTCAGTCACTGCTGCTGAGATACCAACACCCTGGTCACCGGACATGACGGGTGAGACTGCGCATGAAACGCCTCTCCTCCCCACCATCGCCATGTTTCCCTGAAACGCCGCCACCTGTCTCGTCATTGTCAAGATCTGCCAAGGTCACCGACAGTCCCCAATCAATATTTCACTAACCCTCAACAAAAATGATTCCTTGTCATCACTTCCCGAAGTGCTAAAGGATCCTCCCTCCTCCGCATTCCCCTCCTTTCTCCTCCTCCTTCCTCTTCTTTCCTCCACCCCCATCCTCTCCCGCAACCCCCCCCTCTCCTTCCTTCCTCCTCCTCTCACCGCAGTCATCGTTGCCATCAACACGATCGCCTTCATTTTCGGCTTATATGTCTCGGACACATCCCCGCGCTGACCGCGTGCGTCCGGGCTCGGCCAGGGGCTCGGCCCAGCACCAGCCCTGGTGCTGCCGGTGCTTGACGGGCCAACCCCTATAGCCTCAAGCAGTGAGACGAAAAGTGAGGCGGGCCCGATAGAGCCGTGACCGATGCCGGCACAGCGTGACGTGACCTGCTACTCAAGAAGGTTCTAGATGTCAAGTTTTAGAAACCAAAGATTCAAAAAGATTCTTTTTCGATACACCACCCCGTCCGGTTCGCATCCCAAGTCGACACCTAAGGGACTGGAGACTGTGACCTACCTGGAAATATGAGCAGGATTATAGGGATGATGGGGGTGGGGGTAGTACAATGGATGCAAAAAGGGGTGCAACAGGGGAGCGCGTCGGGCAGTGACTGTCACAATCATGTAATAAAATGATTGAGGGTGTGTGGGTAGGGTAGTGCTGGTGCATATAGGGGTACTTGGAGAATGAAGAGGTAGGTGGGGGTTCAAATTTTGTATGGTAGGGTGTTCAGTAGAGGATCTTTTCTCGCACTTTACAGGAGGCTTAGATAAGGCTACATCGGGGAAGTACGGGGGTGGGGTGGAGAAAAATCCAGGAAGGGAGGAGGTATCAAGAAATCAATTGAAGGACAAGAGACGAAAACGGTAGGTGAAGGTACTATGAGCGCGGGACTTGAAGACAGGGCTTGTGGGTGCATCTGAAGCGACTCATTTTCGATTCCAAGTCCTCAAATCAAACTGATTCAGTAATACGTAATTTTATAAAAGCCGGAGATACCATCACCCCCCGGCCCTCTAAAAATATATACCACAGCTCAAAAATAAATATACACCGTTTAAAAGTCTTTCTAACGCTCTATAATTCAAATCCTTCCCCTACCCTAGTCGGGCCACCAAGGTCTCTATTACCCCCATGTGACTCCGTGGAACAACCGGTACATTACCATTCATTGTTGTACCCCACCATGCATTCTCGATTTTTTCCCTCCACCCCTTGTTGCACCTAGATCCCATTTCAGCCACCACCACCCCTCTGTAACCCACCCTACCACTTGTCATTGGAGCATGACCATCAGTCACCCACCCCACCACTTCCTCCACCCCTTCGACCCCAAGCACATCACTTGAGAAGACTCGACAAGATGAATACCCCTCCTCTTTTCGATTGTTCTGCCTAGAATTAAGGGGTACTTTAACCCACAGTGCCGTCCAGAACCCCTAGAGTTGCAGATCTTCAAACATTGTACCCCTGACAATACACACCTACCCCCTATGAGATCCGCCCATGCGACCTGTCACCTTCCGCCCACACTACACAGCTTGTACCCACCCTCCATTCCCATCTGAATACACCCTACCCTAGATCTGAGTAACAATCATTCAGATCATGTATATCATATCGCTACACCTCAATAAATCAATGGATTCATCGATTCAATTACATTAACATCGCACCATGCCATTGGCGGAGATTAGATTCGAGCTCACACCCGTGTCCATGAATACCCACCATACTTTATCCAAACCACCCACCGATCTAGAATTTTGAGTACCCTACCCAATCTTATCTCGAATTGTGTACCACCCACCCCATTACATTTTTAGTCCTCCCCTACCCCACACTACCTAATTCATATGGCCCCTTCCATCGTTTGAATCACCCCCACCCTTCACATTCCCCCTAAACTGAACACTTTGAATCAGTACCCATATATTCTACAGCAAAGACCCCTATTAAATACAGAGTTCAAACTACCCTTCCATAAAAGTACCCTGTCTCGAGGTACCCCCACCCCCTCATCTTTGTATTCCCTCTCCCTCGTTTTTTTTCCCGCTTGCACACCCTCTGCCGTCCTCCTCTTGTACCCTCCCGCTAGTTCCTCCTTGTTCATTCCCAGTGACTGACTCGGAGTCGACTGCCTCCCGCGCTCTCCTACCTGCTCCTCTTCTCTTCCTGAACATCCTCTTGCAGAGCCAGCTTCGTCTGCGTCCGTTTCTTTGCCTGTCAGTCAGAAAAGCTCTTTGCGCTCCTCAACTTACAAAGCACGTCAACAAATACCTCGGGACAAAACTGAGACCATAAAATGAATCCATCCAGAAACATACTGTTCCTTGGAGTAGCAGTTACTTCCTTTGCATCCCTTCTTGCTCCTTCTCACGCCTGGGTTCCCTCAACCACTTTGACTCCCTTCTTGAATGTGCACAACCGCCTCTCGCTCAGATCTACAGGGCGAGTGTACCCTCGCCCCACGGTTGCCTACATGAAACAAGCTGGATCGCACTTGGTCACTTACGGCGATTTGTGGAGGGATGCTGTTCCTGAAGATGATGTGCAAACAAACTTGCAAGCTGAGGTGACTGAGGCGTACGACGAGCAGGAGGCAGAGCTGTCCGTTGCTGAGACACTTGTGAAGCCCATCAGGCAGGCGGCCACGGCTGTGTGGGAGAGACTCACGTACGAGCCAAGTGAAGAGGAGGTGAGAGCCAACCTGAAGGCTTTCGCCAAGGCTCATGGTGGCGCGGTCATGACCCCACTCTCTGAGGAGGAGCTAGAGAAAGAAGTGAAGTACTGCGGAATGTTTCCTGATCTTGTTGATGCCCTGGTCGAGAACGAGGTGCAGATGGAACTTGCTACCGAAGTGTCGAGCAAGGCTCAGGAGATGGCAGCTAAGAAGTTGGCGAAGGAGCTTTCCAAGGAGCTGGGCCTTACCCCGCCTGTTGACTCTGAGAAGACCAAGCTGTGAGGGACAGATGAATACGGATATGATACGAGGACGAAGCTCGTCGACTGTGATTGTTTTTTGAGACGAGAATACGAGGAGGATATTCAGATATAGAGTGAATCGTGTAGAGTGTGTACCATTAGCGACAATGAAACTTGTACTTTGAAACGCGTCACTTCATCCAGGGCATGTCGAGCGATGGAGCTCTTGACCTGAGGAACTGAACGATCTGACATCATTCGTAAGCACATCGGGTCATCTTTGATATCCATCACCGTCATGAACTCGTCGTACGCCTCCTTATTTCGCTCGCAAGCCTGTTCTTGCAAGAACCTGAACGAGGTCACAGAGAGAAGGGCGAGCAACCAGCCTCTCACTCGTCCTTGAAGAAGCCAACGGCCAGCGCTGAAGGATATCCGAATAACTCTCCCAATGACAAGCTCGTCTCCCCTGCCGTCATGGTGAGTGATCCCTCGTCTCTTGCCCCCTTGACTTGACCCTGAAGCCTCTTACCTATGCTGCATATAACAGTGTTGCGCACAGCTGCAGCAGCAAGGAGGTGATGTACTATAAACCTGCGACAAGAAGTAAAAAATTTCCTTCCTCCTCCGTCCGCTGCTACGAGGGCTTTGAGTCTTTGCAGACGATCACGAGAGCGAGTTTATCCTAACGGCAGGGAATGAGGTGGAGAAAGGAGCTGGCGCTGTCGCATCACCCGCTCGAGAGCTCTCGTCACTTCATTCAGCCCAACACAGAACAGTGAGCTAGAGCAGAAAAATTTACCATGAGACAGAGAAGGCGGAGGTAGAGAGCCATACCCAAGAAAATCGCCGAGCTCCTCGGCCCGTACACGAGTCACCTTATCGTCGGGCTGTGGATCGTCCTCGACCATCTCAGAGCTCTGCCTTTTCCTCTTTCTTTCCTTCACCCTCGTCACCCTTCACATGCATGAGTGATCCTCGTGACATCTCGCCCTCTCAACCTCTTCTTGCTTGCTCTCGCGCTCAGCAGCGCTCGCAGGGGCTCGAAGGACTTCTGTAGTCGCTGGACAGCGAGCAGACGGTCTTGCTATAGGAGCGAGAAAAAAGTTACTCGCGCATGGGAGCAGAAACAGGGCGGAGAGCCAGGCACCTTGTTCAACAAGGGGATGCTGATGGCGAATTCAGTATCAGATGCCTTGAAGGAAGCAGCACTGAACTGCTGGAAAGGTGAGGAGCCAAGACAAGAGAAAAATGAGACCGACTTGCTGGTCGGTCATGAGAGTGCCAGAAGACAGCCCCTTGGCTAAGAGATGAAACACAAAGTTAGCCTCCTCCTCCTCCTCCTCCTCCTCCTCCTCCTCCTCCTCCTCCTCCTCCTCCTCCTCCTCCTCCTCCATCGTCTCGCACCCGAGTGCATCTGCACCATCGGAGATTGGGAAAGCGACTTGCGATCCTTCTTGCCCCTCTTGGCGGATCGCAGGGGGGTGATGGAGGAGACACTTCCACTCCGTTGGGACGGGGAGCTGACTTCTCGCATGGCTGAATCACCTGCCCTCTCCTCAGAGCCAAGACAGGCAAAGTAGAGCCATGACCTCGGTGCGGTTGCACATGCGTCTTTGCCGGCATCCTCGTCCTGCCATCACTTTATGACCTGAAGCCAGACAAACAAGTAGAAACTCTCATGCCTTCACGCCCCGATCCTCCCCTACTTCCGTCGCCTTCTCAACATTGCCCGTCACTTCGCTTTTCTAGACAGTTCTCTCGCTTCTTCAGGCCACCTCTATCCATCTCTTCCTCTCGCTCGCTCCCTCTCCTCCCATTCTCCTCCCTTCCACACTCCCACCCCCAAGCGGTCTCATCGCATGAGTACTCATGAGTATCCGTGAGTATCCGTGAGTATCCGTGAGTGTCAGAGGGTACCCCCACCGACTCGAGACCACCCCTATTGTCTATATAGATGGAAACCGGTACATTTTGCTATCCCTACCCCTTGAAAGCTATATATTTCTCTACCACCCCCCCTGCTCTGATCTCCTACCTCCCCTCATCCCCTGGCCCCTCCCCATCTGCATAACCACAGTGGGTACCCTTCACTTACCGAGAACCAGGTGGGTGAGGGTAGTGCTGGTAACTAGGCAAATGGACACAGGTAGGGGACTTCAGGGGGTAGGCTTGAGTGGTAGGTGGGTGGAAGGAAATTGGGAAGGAAAAGTAGGGGTCATATCTACAGGGTTCAGGTGATGAAGACCAGGGTAGGGTACTGGGTCCCTGGGTATGGTTGATGTCGGTAAGGTGAGGGTGGGGTGGTTAGGTACGAGGGGGTGCTAGAACGTATCCGACTGCACTGAATGGCGAGTAACGCTTTCACCTGAGACACCTCTGTTGATGAAGAACAAGAACAGCAAGAACAACATGAACAGCAAACCTTATTGTCTCTTCTTGATATCATCATCACCACCATAGATGCTTTCTTCTCGACGTTACCATGACCACTACAACCTCTATCACCATTGATCGCTTCCTCAGACTGCCCCGTTGTCCTTCGCTTCCAAATGTTTTCCCTCAACCACCCATGAATTCACCCATATCAATCATCACACATTCATCTTCACTATCTTATTCACCTTAATCCCATATTGATCTTCTATCTATCGATCTCGTCATTTCTCCCTCCCTGTCCTTCTTTATTCTCCTTTGTTTCCTTGGTTGGTGTTTCTTCACAAGATTTTTCTCATCGTGTCCTCATTTTCGATCGTCTTTCACCCATTGTTCTATCCCGCTTTGCACCTGACTTTTCCACTCCTTCCTCGTTCTCACTCACACTTTCTACCATTCTCAATCTAATGAGAGGGGCTGGACAAGCATACAGGAGGCTTGCGTTGACGTTTGGCTCCAGATGTGCGGAGGCTCACGGGAGAGCTGCCGTCTCATGAGCTCTGAGGTGGCTCATTGGGTAGCCTCCTTCAGCCCCTCTGCTTCTTCCTTGTCGCGCCTCCCTCTGTCAGCTGGAGCTGCTCAGGTGCCACGTGCCATGGCGGGACTGCAGATCGATGCCTCCTTCATGCCAAGCTCGGCGAGCGCTAGGACATGCGGCAAGCGAAACTTCGAGGACCTCAGCGACGGGGGGAGCGACACGACGTGGATGGACATGAAGGAGAGCGACGTCGAGATCGTGAAGAGGATCCGCATCTTGCGGGAAGGATATATGCAGCATGGAGGGGCATGGGCAGATCATCAGCTAGCATCCGGTGGAAGAGCAGGAGGAAAAGTCGCTGACTGACCAGTGCGTGCAGGCCTGCTGGATGCTCGTCACCTCTCCTGCCTCCGTTCGCATGTTCTTGTCCTTGACGAAGCGCCTTGCGGGATGGAGTTAGACAGCATGGAGAAGGTGGGGCAGGAAGTGGAGAAACGTTGAGTCCTTACAACTGAGGCAGGAGCGAAAGTGGATCAACTGGTGCCAAGACAAATGGGAGATGCCACCGTGCGGTTCTACTTCATAGCTAGCGCTAACCCTCACCCGCTAACGTGCAAACTCTTGAGCTTGCAAGCGCTGTCGCTATTTCTGATTCGTTTGGTGCGACAGGCGAGGATGTTGAACGAGAAGAGGAAGTTTGGTGTGAGGTGAAGATAGAAGTTTTGAATGTGAATTGTAATATTATTTCTTAATTATCCTCCTCGTCGTCCTGCCCCGTCTCATCCTCTGTCTTCTTCTTCTTCTTCTTCTTCTTCTTCTTCTTATCTGCAGACCCTACCAGCCCGTTCAAACTCCTGACAAAGACTGTATCATGATCTCACCTGCAGTCGCTGAAGCTGACGCTTGCTCCTCCCACTCCTTGAGCCCTTCCTCCAACAGCTTGCAAACCTTGAGCAACCTCTCAAGAGAGCCTCTCCTCCCTCCCTTCTTCCCTTCCTCCCCTCCTCTCTCGTTGTCGACATACTGATTCAGGCGGCTCGTCTGGCAGGTATGCGCTGACTCTCCACGCGGTCTCGACGACCTGCACGAGTGAGGAGGAGAAGCGAGAGGAGGGTGGCAGACCTGGAGGTCTGGGAAGGAAGACGTCAGGCTCAGCGACTCGCACATCCGCGTCCTCCATCGCAACTTCAAGTGCGTGAGGAGTGTAGAAGAAGGTCAGGCTCACCTCATCGACGTGACTGACTAGCAGCTGATGCACCCGCAACAAGAGGAGAGGAAGGGAGAGAGCTTGTCTCTCCTCCAAGAGACCCTTCCCGCTGACTCCCAGCTGCCATGCGCTCATTTTCCTCCTCCTTCCCTCGGTCAGGAGCACCTTGTCCCTCATGTCGATCAAGTATTGCCACATGTCGCTCAACGCTGATCGCATGTCTTCAAGACTTCGCCGCAGCCTGCTGAGCGATCTCTCTACCTGCACCTCTCTCGTCAAGACCAACGTGTACTGGTCGAATAAATTGAAACGAGAATAGCATGAGGGAGAAACCGCGAGGAGAGAAAGAGAGGGAGACAGACAGACAGACAGACAGACAGACAGACAGACAGACAGACAGACAGACAGACAGACAGACAGACAGACAGACAGAGCGAGTAAGCAAGGGAGCAAGGAGGAGAGAGAGACAGAGACAGAGACAGAGACAGAGACAGAGACAGAGAGAGAAAGCCTGTACACCACCTCTATAGCGTTCTCTACTTCTTCTTGCTGAGCATTCTCTGCCCATCTCACACATCCCGTCTCTACACCCAGCGCCTGCAGCATAGAGCGACGATCCTGCGGGGTGGTGAGTGTAGAAGACTCACAGTCATCGCCATCATTCACTGCTCGCTCTACACCTCTCACCTCCCATGTTTTGTGAATAGACGATCGTTGCTCAACAGCCTGTCATGAGTCACTTGATACAAGACTTCTCCCGCCCTCTCCACCTGCAGCATCGACCTTATCCCTGCCCGCCCGTCCCTGGAAAGAAACAACTGATCAGTTCTCCTCCCTCCTTCCCACCCCTTTCTTTCCTCAACCCTGCATTATCTTGTCTA